GATGCCTTGGGTTTCCGACACGTGTGCGGTCTGCTTGAGTCAGCTGAAGGAAGGTGACGAGATCAGAGAATTGAGGAACTGTTGCCACGTGTTCCATAGAGATTGCATTGACAGATGGGTTGACTATGATGAAGATCAAGACCGCGATCATGATCAAGAAGACAATGACAATCACAACACTTGCCCCCTTTGCAGGGCCCCTTTACTCACTTCTTCACAGTGCTTGGTGTGGCCTAAGACTGAACCCAGCTGGGCCGTCGAGCGACTTCTTTACCTATTTGGGGACGATCTTCTCCCTTGATCCACGTCATTTACCTATTCTCTACAGCTTCTTCTTCTTCTTTTTACATATTGTTTGCTCAATCAATCATTGAGATAGAGCTTGGAGCAATGGTTATTGTATATTGTAGTTGTCAGTTGATAGTTTCAGCGTAGCGAAAAGGGCCAATTTTGTTCTTTGGAGTGGTCAAGTGGTCTAAACTCTAGAAGCTTGACCCTTTTAATAATGGAATGTATATATAAATGAATACGTCTTAATTTTAATTTTTGTAGCAAAAATACCATGTGAAATTATAGAATTGTATGGTTGTGTGTATACCTATATTTTATTGTTTAAAGGAGCTTTCCACTTTCTAGCGAGTGGAAGAACTGGTGAATAACTTTAGTCAATGAAGCTTTTGATTGCCCATATTTTTAGTCTTCAGCCTAATGGTCGTGGGATCTAATCTCACGGTGAGTAATTCATAATTCGAAGGTCTTCCACGAAAGTTGCTCTCAACCTGATGTTGAGGGCAACCTACTATCATACACCCCTCTTATCTCATTACATATGAGAAGAAGGGTCACCTAATTTTATACATTTAATGTCCTGATTATTACTTTTGTTATGTTTTAATCATTTAATTATTATTTTTCAAAATATATATAAAACTCTCTTATTTTCATTTTGATGATCGTTAAAAATTTAAACAATTGTTGATGTAATATTTTAAAAAATAATAATGACATGACATTAATTAAATAAAATCAAAATATAATTTTAGATATAATTTTAAAATAAAAAATAATTCAAATACTAAAATAAAATAAAAGTGATAGTTAAAATATTAAACGTGTTTACTTAATTTTTTTTATTTGGTTATCTTAGGATCGCACATAATTCGCTTTATTTAAAGTTTTTTTCCCCGTGCAGGTTGCTTTTTCATACTTTAAAAATAAGTTTAATAATGAAATATGTATTGTGAAAATGGAAAAAGAAAAGTAGGAAAAAAAAATGAGCGGTTGATACATAATCAAGAATCTTCATTTGTATGGCATGAAAAAAAAAAACCAGCTTCACTCTTCCTTCACTTACACTTATTTTTGTTTTTATTTTATATTCTTTCCAGAAAAATAAGTGTAAGAAGAAAATATGTGGCTAAATTGAAGAGTCAACCGAATAGAATGTAGATACGTTTGCATCTTTTCGGGCCGTTCAATTGGTGGGTGGGTATTCGAAGCTGATTTTTCATCCAATAGAATAGGTTTGGGTTCCATCACATAGGAATAGGATCATTAAGTAGCATATTAGAAACCTGATGCAGTCCAATAATTGTGGGGGATTCAATCTTCCTTTGGGCTATACTCCTCATTTCAATCTTATTTTCAAAAGGCCATTTTATGGATCATTTACTCCATGAAGTTCAAACCGAGTATGGTGTCATCTCTGTTTTACTAAAAGGGCAATGTTTAACTTTGCGAAATCATGAGATTCGATGCCACCGTCCCTTTTAGCCCGCATTGCAAACATCTAAACGAATTGAAGGATGATTTTATAAACATTTTTCGTCCGGCTTTTTAATAATAATAATAATATTATTATTATTATTATTTTCTTTTTTTCTTTTTTTACAGGCTCAATATTAGAACAAAACCGTAAAACTTAGCTAACACTAACCCTAATCACATGAAGTAGGGCAACCGTACCAAAGTCGCGTGGGTTAATAGAATTCCAGGTCTATCAAACTTTGTATTCCTTGCAATCCATTCCATAGCATATGGGTTAATTCTATTTTCTATCCTTTTAATTTTGCCATGCTTCATTTTAGTAACTAAAAGTTTGGATTTAATCATGATTCAGTTCCTGATTTGGTGTTGATTTTCACCTTGAGCTATGTGGTTTAATTCTATGTTTATTTTGACCCCAAACTTTAGCTTAAGTATTAACTTTTCCTTATTTTGATTTGAGACTGATAATTTTTAAATCGTGCATTTTAGTCCTTGATTAATTATCAATTTAAAGTAAATATTATGCAATTAGTTTGTTTTGGTTGCCATTAATTGTGCATGAATATATGTTTGTTTTTCAAGCATGTTTTATTAATTACAAATATAAATATGTTAGCTTATATTTGTATATATGGCATTTGTGTATGTATTCCTTTTTTTTAAGTGTATGTATTCCTTTTCTTCAGTGTATCTTTTATTAATATTCAATATTTCCCATGTGTATTAAATGTCTCCCATGCTCTTAATTATAATTAGATTTTTTTATTTGGCTATCCATGCGTATTAAATACATTTTTTATGCCTAAAATTTGGGATAAATGTATATATATATATATATATATATATATATATATATATATTAAAGTAGCATTTATTTATTTATTATGCATTCTATTTTAAATATAAGGGTTTGTTTAATATTTTAATTATTGATGTTCGACTAATTATAGAAGACCTCCAAAAATCTGGAGTGCCCTTCCGAGGATTATTTGAATAACATTGATATTTTATTCAATATTTATTTATATTCTATGACTTTTTAAAAGTACATAAGATATGTTTCATTTTAAATAAATGCATTTTTATTTTTTCATATAGTAAAATTAAGTCATTTTTATCAAGTCAAATATTTAAAAAAATAAATTCACACATTTTAAAATTGACCTAAATAAAAGATCATAATTTAAATTTTGAATTCAAATTTGTAAAATTTCACTACTTAGAAAACGTATAATCGAGAGGTACAAATTTTTGGCGTTGTGGGGTGCTAATCATTCCCCATGCATAATCGACTCCCAAATCCTTAAAAAATGAATTTTTGGTGACACGCAGACCAAATTTTGTCTTTAAAATTATTTTCCTTTAAATTTTTTAAAAGACATTTTTAGGTATTCAACATACCTAACCCAAAGGTCGATGGCGACTCCAAATTTCAAATTAAATAAAAATCTAAAATTTTTAAATTAAATTATTTATTTAAAAATTGTTATGATGGCTTAGCGACTCTATTTGGGATTGGTTACAGAGTTAAGATGTATTTGATTATAAGTTGTTCGAGTGTTGCCTTTACTTGAGCTACAATCATTTTAATTTCAATTTTCATAAACATGCATCATTTTTACTCTTGTAAATAGTTGTACTGATGTTTGATTTCACTGATTTCAGATTTGTTAAGGTTTTCAAAAATGAGTCTTTTATTTTATTTTATTTTATTTTTGTCAAAAGGTTGGTGAGTTCCTCTTGACACATGTCATGTGCATTTGCATGTCATAAGCTCAATGCCCAAGCTCTGTCCCACTAAGTGGGAGTGAGCTAGTTCCTTCGTGAATATCCTTTCGTACAAGCTAGTGAATCACTATTGGAGGACATGTCTTTATGATCTTCGTGAGCAGCCCTCCGTGTATGTAACACCCTAGACCAATACGACATATAGTCGACCGATTTAAGGTGCTACACAAAACCACCGAACGGGCTGACCAACTTTTTCTTACTTTCTTTAAATATAAAAAAATTGTAAAATAAACTGAAGAATAAATAAAATCTTTACACTGAGGAGCTATAAATTAAAATATTTACTCTTTACAAAAATATTACAGACCAACATGACTGAATCTACGACTCAATTGGGCAATAATGTTTACAAATATACATGCCCTTTCAAAAATGTTGAGACGTACATTTGATCTGCACTGGACTAGTCTGGACCTTAGTTTATCTACTGCTTCCCAATTGCTTATCTACTAACTTGCCCACGGAAACATCCGAAGGCTGAGCTAACTAGCTTAGCGACATACTAAAAGCTTAAACATACTAAATGCATATCACTAAAAGGCTAGATATCAAGTTTACGGATCTGATTTGCTTAGTGAATATCCTTACGATACTCACTCTCTACGCTACTGTAGACATCATGGTGCGATTGAGGGATTACTGCATCTCGGAGCTCACGCACCCCTCTAGTCTACATCAGATACTATACCCCTAACTAACCCACCCCTTGCGAGTGTCAGGCCTCGACCATAATTAGTTAGTTTTAAGGGCCTTGCGTCCCTACCTAAGGATATATCTAGATTGCATCTATACTTTCGACTCCACTAGCTTTTCTAAAGGAACTCGGGTGTCTGAATCGTTTCCCAAGCATCAAACAAGGCTACTCTTATTTTTCCGTAATTATTTGGTTTCTACGTTTGAATTAACATTAATATTGTTCCACTTGTAGTCTTATTTGATGATATAATGAAGTGTTGGGGTACCTCGTGTCTAAATCCCTAAAAAAATAAGCTTTTTGCCCAAAACATACTGAAAGTATCGATACTAACCCAAGAGTATCGATACTCTTGCAAAATTTTCAATACTTTATATAAGTGCCGATACTTTTAAACATTTTGTTATGCAAAGTTTTAATACTTTCTGGGAGTTTCGATACTCCTACCCAGAAAACTCATTTTTACCCTAAAATGAAGAGCAAGTATCGATATTATCCATGTAATATCGATACTTTACCTACATAAACCATAAAACAAGCACGAAAACATCTATTTTTCATACCCAAAGACCCTAGTGAGGTCCCCAAATGTTCTTAAAGTCTTATTTGATATTAAGGGAGTATAAATAAGGATTAGAAACATGCTGAAAACATTAAACATAAAATCTACCATAGAAAGCTACTAAACATACTTTATCTCAAATTTTAGCTAAAACTCATTTCTAATGATTCTACAACTGGTATGGAAAATCTAATAGTGTGTTACCTGGATTCTTTGGATGCTATAACACTTTTTGAATCAACTAGGGATCAACTCTTCCTTTTTCTCTTGGCTTGAACTATCTCTTTAACATCTTTAACATCTTTAACTAATTAAGGTATAAAAATGGATTACTTACTTAACTAGGTGTTTTATAAAGCTTAGATACACTCCTACAACTCAAACACTCTCCTAAAATGACTTAAAACACTTGATTTCTAAAAACCCATAAAACTCATTTTTGAAAAACTTAACCAAAACTAGAAATTAATGGCTCTAATTGATGCTAAGGGAATGGAGAATAAGAAAATTACCTTGGTTTTTTCAATCTAGCTTGAAATCTCACCTTGGTTTTCTAATGAGAAGGAAACAGGAAAAGAAAATGGAAGAGAAAATGAAAGAGGAATTTTTGCATGGAGTCTTCTGAAGAAAGAGAACGTTTATAACCTTAAAATAGGCTAGGGCTAAATTGTTATCTAGATCCCTCTTCTTTATTATTTAATTTAAAACTATCACTAAACTTAACTCTAGGGCCT